ACAGATACTAGCTGTGTGACCTTGGACAACTCACTTAACCTCAGTTTCCTCAGCTCTAAAATGGATATAATAATAATATATACTTCCCAGGGTTGTTTTGGGTATCAAATGAGATATTTGTAAAACACTTAGCTTGGTATGTAGTAGGTGCTATGTAAATGCTAACTATCATCATCATCATGTGTGTCTGTGTTATAAGGAACCCTTATTTTAAATGTTTTAACCGAAATTGCAACACATAATTAGTGGTGGATTTGGAAATTTCCTTATAGTCAGAGCACCACAGAATAAGTAGAATCTTAAGAACTGGAATTTTAGTGTTGGGTTATTATTATTAAAAAGTGTTTGGAAAATAGACTTGCAGTGATTTTTTTTAAATGATCAATAAAGACAGAATTTAAAAATAATTTACTATTAAGGAGAAGAGAAGGAAGGAAATAGCACCAGTCCATCTTCAAGCATTTATTAAGTACTCATTATATGCCAGATAGTATGCTAGGTGATGGGTATACAAGTGCAAGTGAGACAGTTTCTTCCTTCAAGAAGCTTACATTCTGGTAGAGGGATATTTTATGTTCACAGATATGTTAATATAGGATATATAAACACAACACTGAATATGAGAAACTATGTTCAGAATTTTTTTTCAAATAATTTTAACGCATTGTTGTTGCTATTTATATTATAATTTCACATTAAATGAAACATTACTCAGTACTCTTAGCATAATTACATTTTCAATTCTAGTTGTGTGAAATTGGGTAATGGTAGCATTAAAGATGTAGAGTCAACTGATGAGAAAGGCAGATGTGTTACAACGGAAGAATCATAGACTGAGAGCTACAAGAAAACTTTGGGGGTCATTGATTCTAATTCCTTCACTTTACAGTTGAAGAAATGAGGTTCAGAAAGGTCATGTGGTCACACATAAAGTAAGTGGTAAATCTGGAACTGGAACTCAAGTTCTCAGACTCCAAATCTAATACTCTTTCCTTTGTAGCTTTCTGCTTCCCTTTAGATGAGGGGACCTGTGTGTTTTGCTCCCAGTTCTGCTGCTGTCTTGTTGCATGACATTGAACAAGTGACTTTTCTGGGCCTGTTTGTTCCTCTGTAAAATGAGTGGATTCAATTATGTGAACTCTAAACACCCCCATTTCTATACTTCTATACTGTGATGACAGCAAATTTGTAAGTAGGAAAGACTTCTGCCGTGAGGCATTAAGAGGGGATACTCAAATTCTGAAATCAATCTCAGATTACATCGATTTAGTAGTTGTCTCCAGCAATGCAGATAACAACACATTGATGCCTTTCTGTCCTATGAAATTTTGGTCCATAGCATACCAAAAGTTCACTACAGAGGCCGCTTAATGTGTTGGAGGCCATGTGACCAGCTCATCTTCGGGGGCGAGTATAGTAAAGGGGGAGTAGTATATTAAAACTATAATGAAGGAAAAAGTAGAAGTAGGAGGAAAAGACATTGTATATTTTCTGAATCATGCTCTTTGAGAAATGTCATTAATATTCATCACTTCTTAATGAGAAATTCTCTTTTCTTGGACCATGTATGCCACTTTGTATTTTGTATCATTTCATATTTTGCATTATAATTGTTTCATAGTTCGTGTATAATTTTTGCATATTTATATATTTGTCATATCCCCTCTGTTAAAAAATGTGAAGCTGGGGTTTGTCTTTGTCTTTGTCTTTCTCCCAGTGCCTAATATAGTGAGTGCTTTGCCCCTAAGTATTTGAATGAATGGATGAATGGATGAATGAATGAGTCATTTAATCTTGAAGTTCTTAATTGACAGATGTCCAAAATGGTTGCCAGTGCTACACCTTCCTCCCCTTAGCTCATAGAGATTACCAAAGGGAACTAGGAATAAAGCCAACAACAGTCCTTCACACCTCCTTGTCAGTGACTCATGCTCTCAAAACACAACCTTCCCCAACTGTTAATCATAAGGTGTAGAGAAAATAAAAAGCAGTTCCTTGTTGGAAAAGGATAACGTAGAATCATAAATGTGATTATAATTCCCTTGAAAAAACTGAGATTCAGAAATGTGAAACGACTTACCTGATGTCATATATAAGCAGTGACAGAACATTATTTCATTTAGATTAATTCAGAGAATAAATAAAAATAAAGGCCCTGGTGTTTTTAGCAGGTTTGGTTTCCTACTGTTTTTCTCGTTTTTCATTTTCTAATTTAGCTTACTTTGGCAAATAGTTTTGGGGAAGGTCAGAAATATAATTACTTTTATTTTACCTTGATATTTCTGACCTTTATATGTGGTGATACTATCCAGCCACCATTAGGCATGACCTTTGAAATTTTTTTCTAGTAGTTTTGATGTATTTAAGTCAACCTTTAAAATTCATCCTACCAGTCAGTGACTGAAGTTAGGAATAGAGACCTAGAACAGACTTTTTTTCCCTTCTGTTACAACTAACTAGCCTCTTTGAAGTTCAAACCAATGAGTCACTTTGGCCTTACTAACACCCTATTCTAGCTAGCTCATTTATCAGATACATGATGTACCACTCGTCATGTGCTCTTAAAATAGTATTTATCTGCCTTTTTTTTTAATCATCTTTGCTTGAGTATAAACACATGCTTATTTGTATATGCAATTAAAGACTATGTTAGGAAATTTCTCAATATATCTTTTTTTTAATTTTGTTTGACAGTAAAAGTCACAGAAGTAAAACATATAGTCAAAGACCCACTTTTTATCTTTCCTTTTTTGTGTGTATGACAGTGAAAGTCACAAAAGTAAAGCTTGTAGGCAAAGAACCCAAGTCACTTTACGGAGAGTGCTACTAGACTGTATTCTTTTAGGGAGGCTATAGCAGGTCTGATGTCAGTCACTTTGGAGACCTTTAGACCTCAGTGCTCATTTATTGCTAAAATGTACCAGCTCTGCTTCTGCATTATGAAGATCATCTGTCAACACTTTGAGATATTCTCCTTTGTTATTAAGCTTGTGATGCTCTACACTGTCAGGTTTTTTTGCCAATTATAGTTAAGGTACAATGGTGTATTCACTGGATCAAAGTCTCACACTGGCGGTAGAGGAATGATTTGTAAGTCTTTATTCATCTGAATTGTACAATAGAATACCTGAGGAATGCAAATAATCCCTCCAAGGACTCAATAGAAAAGAATGTTAAAATGACAGTGTAGGACTATTATTATTCTGAATTGATGTTTTAGCCAAAGTAATTATTTCATATCTTATTGTTTTGCAACAGTTCTTAGTTTATTAGTTGTGTTGGCCATATTTACCAAACAAAATTTGTATAAGATTTTACAAATTACCCTTTTACATAGGTTTCATTTTGTTTTCTTTTCTTTGACTCCTTAGTACATGATTTATCAAAATTATATATTTGATACAGATTTAGAAAAAATATATATGTAAACACATATACATAGATAAAGCATTGATGTAAATATTTTTGCCACTTCGGGATAAATTGCCCAGTTGATCTATGTTTCCACAATAATTTTGTAGCCCAAGAGGTACTGACTTAAACATTTATTTTGTTTTATCTTTAACTGTCCCATACAAAAACCAAGAACAGTTTTTTGGCTTAACCTTTTGAAAAGCCGTTCAGTGTATCCCAAGGTGAATCTTAGGTGTTAATCTATTATTAGGGCATGACAAGAAAAAAAATCATAATGGATATCGAAAAACCTATGGTGGTATATTTATATGAGTAAATGACACAAAGTCATCCTTACGTAACAAATATGTGAAAACTGTTGAATGAACTTTTATATTCTTTGTCCCATCTAAAACCCTACTCAGTGGGCCATGCACTTAATCTCATAATAGCTCTGATCCCCTGCTATTTTCTTTGACAAATGAGTGTTGATGAACTTGTGGTTTTGTTCATTTTTTTTTTTCATGAAGTGACATTTACATTGATTATTTAAAGGATTGCAGACCACAGTTTCAAAGCACTTTACCATAATGGCTGTTAAACCTTGGTTTAAATCTCCTAAATTAGTGGGGTTAGCAGCACGACAGTGGTACTCATTAAAGTATATGTTTTGGGGTGTTTTCAGTATTTAAAATTTGTGGCACCTACAGTACAATATTCAAATCTATACCTGAGCCAAAAGACTATGTCCTAGAAGCCATTCTCTAAGAATATGTTACCATTGTACTTTTTATTTCCTCCTCTCACTTAGGCTCTCAATATTGATTCTAAAAATATTTCACATTAAAATATAAAACTTCTAGTCCTTTCTAGGTAAAGAATTCATTGTCTGTTTCTTAAAATGTTGTTGGCTTTGCATATCCAAATAACTTTACACATAGTTGTGCTAATTAAACATCTTTAGAATTGGAGTTAATAAGGATGATTTGATAATTGATAAATGTAGATTCCTTTTTTTTTGTAAATGTAGATTTCTGATCATGATAATCTTTCCCACGAAAAACACCTATAGAAACAATGCTAATTCTGTTTTTTATTGTTTTGAATAAAAGAAATGCACATGCTCTATGGGTAGAGTTGTAATATGAACACTGTCGTGCTACCTCCAGAATTATCTGAAGGCATTTTTAAGTGCTTCTCCTAAACAAATAGAATTTTACCTTTGTATCCCCCAGTGGTGATCTTCATATCCCTTTAAACAGCCATAAGTTTTTCTTTATTTTTTAAAGGTTATGTGAAAAGTGACATTCTGGGGTAGTTTGTGGGGTACAAATTTAGCATTAACAGAAGAAAGTTTTAAAAATATTTTTCTAATATTTCTTGCAGAATTTATGCTAAAATAAAATAGGTAGCAGTAAAATATTAATGGAGTACACCTGAAGCAATTGCTGCCTGTTAATGCCTTGACCTTGGAAAGCTATACACAAAAAGATGGCATCATAAAACCGTGCAATTCTTATGAATATGTATGTGCTACTTGATAATAATGAATGTGGTACAGTCATGCATGCACTACAAGATAATGTTGTGCCCTTTTTTGTCTACAGGTTGATAAAAATTAAAGAGTGGGTAGACAAGCATGACCCAGGTGCCTTGGTCATTCCTTTTAGTGGGGCCTTGGAACTCAAGTTGCAAGAAATGAGCGCTGAGGAGAAACAGAAGTATCTGGAAGAGAACATGACACAAAGGTTAATTAGCATTCATTTTCCCTACACTTTATTATCAACTATTTCCTTGCAGTAATTTAATTGCTTGCGCTGATAGAATAATAAATGACAGAGTAATTACCATTATAAAGAGGGAATCTTCTCCTTTCTTTACCATGAGACAGAGTGAAAAGATTTATTTTAAATTAAGTTTTTAACTGTCATCTGTCATCTCTGTACAGTGTTTTAATTATAACATAGGTATTAGTTATGTATATTTTTGAGAAGGAATGATCACCAAAACTCTTTCGTCATGTTCAGGCCTGGGGTGGGGGGATGCTGGGGGGAGGAGAAAAGAGGTGTGGGGAGAAGGGGCTTGAATTAGTTGCCATAATTTTTCTGAATAACAGTAATAAATTGTTTAAACATTGAATTTCAGTCAAATGATTTTGCTTTCGTGACCTGATGTCCTCAAAATAATTTACATTGGGCCAAAATAACCACATGATAGATATAACTAAAGTGTTTTTTTAATATGTAAAGTAAATAGTTCAAAGTGGTATCTTTAGGATGGTACCATTTAAAGTAATTTGTTAAAGAGGTTCAAAAACAATAATATTCTTTCCAAATGTATTTAACTATATTTTGAAGAAGATGTGGCGGTTTTCAAATGTGCAGAAACTTTTCTGCTTTAACTTAAAAAAAGATAATACATGACCATGTTCAACATATACTGTATGTGTATTCGTGTATGTGTGTGTGTATGTTGAATGAATTTGTTTCATTTTATTTCAGTGCTTTGCCAAAGATCATTAAGGCTGGCTATGCAGCACTCCAACTAGAATACTTTTTCACTGCAGGCCCAGATGAAGTACGTGCATGGACCATCAGGGTAAGATTCATACTTATTCATCAGCTATATCCAGTTCCACACTATTGAATTCAGATTGATATCACTGACTTTGAAGTTTGTCATGGTGGCGGTTAGCTAGTCATTACAGATGAGGTTTTTGTCCAGGATAACTTTAATTATTTGTGAGCTGCTGAACAGTGAAAGTGGAGCTGCATTGATTGAGGCAGGTAACAATTGATTCTGCCTATTACATAGTCTGAATTTCTTCATCCTGTAGAATCTGTCTACCCTCCTCCTGTGGTCAGAGATAAGACGTACCAGTATTGTGCTTGCTTAATCTGTGTGACTGGGTTTGTCTGCAGTGAAATTGATGTTGCTTTTCATTTTGTATTCGCTAAGTTTGTTTGGGTTGCGGGTGGTTCTTTCCTCCTTTGCTTTGCTCGGATTACATTTTCAGCAATAAAAGCAATATAACATCATTATACTCTTCATAGATACACAGTTGGGCTCAACAACCTAAAGTCAGTGTGTAATAATTCATGCCTCTCTTGATTTGAATTCATAGAATTAGAGTTTATTTTTGTAATTTCGTATGGTCTATCCAGTTACTTGAAAAATTTGATATGTGTTTTAAATGTTGATGTATACTGATTACAACCATAGAGAATGACTAATTTATTCCCAGAGGACAATAAGAGCTGAACCGTAATGGTTTGCTTTTAAATGTAAATATATTGTAATATAGTGGTTAGTACTGAAAAATATTTTGAAATGTACGTAGTTCTAAATGGTACATTAAAGAATATAAAAATAATACTGGAACTTTTTGAGATGGTGAATATGTTATTCAGTCTTTTATTCTACTTCTTGCATTTATTTTCCTGCTACATGGTGAATTTCAGCATTGCTTTTATTTAATTCAAATCATTCCTGTTTTCAACAACTACTATAATTTATTCAGTTACATTTTATTTTGATTTAATATGGATAGAAACATGTAGGCAATTCGACATGTTAAATGTTTTGTTTGAATATGAGCTTCGCTTTTCCTTTATCTCATCTCCCCTTTTAAAAAATGTGTGATTGACTTCTAACCAAGGTCCTTTTATATAGATTCCCCAAATAGTGTCAAAGCAAATTTATGTTGGTAAGCACATTGCCAGAGTTTGTTTATTTTTTTAATACCACATAACTTTCAAACTTAAGTATGTTCAATTAAAGATAAGCTTTGCTCTTTGCTCAAAAATATGAAAGGTGGTTTATCTTAAGACTGATTGTAAGTATCTTTGATTTAATGTGCTAAGATATTTAGTCAGGTAAGCATCAGTGAGTAGCCATATTAACCTAATACATCTTTTATTGTAAAAACTGTGCTTTACAGTGTCAGACTCCTTACCACTTTAACATGCTTTATTAAGCAGCCTTTAGGTCACCATTATTTCTCAAATTTCTTTCCATGGTTGTATGTGCCTTGAATGTATGTTCTTGTAATTTAACACATGGGACAATTAGAAGGCATTCTTCTTTTTCTACAAAATTTAGAATTTTCTTTAACAATGGTTCTATATATGTAGACTGTACTCATTAAATATATTATTTAAAATCTATTACTTTTTTCTTAGACTTTCAAATAATAGAGTATTTGGAAGATTCTATGAGCTTGACATATCTAGAATGTTATATTACATTTATTGATTTTTATATATTTTATAAACTAGTAGAAATCCAGAGGATATTTATTTTTAACTTCTTTAAAGCCTTTGATAATTCAGCTTGAAAATTACTTAAAAATCTTTATTTCTTCTTTTTTTTAAATGGTGAAGAACGGAAAATCGAAATGAAACCTACAACAGAAAGGATCTCCACATCTAAAATCAATAGTACTGTGGATAGCCATTAGGAAAAAACAAAGCTGCATTTCTTTAGTACCAACTGATTTATTGGTTCTAAAATATCAGTTATCTATATGCCCTACTGTTGCAAAATTACCAATTATATGCCTGACATTTTAACTGGTATGAGACTAAGTTCTAGTGGAATGCTCACATATCTGAGAAGAGAAATTTTACTCTTGAAATCAAGTCTTAAATGCAGTTAATTTTCTCTGGTCTTTCTTTTGACAGAAAGGGACGAAGGCTCCTCAGGCAGCAGGAAAGATTCACACTGATTTTGAAAAGGGATTCATTATGGCTGAAGTAATGAAATATGAAGATTTTAAAGAGGAAGGTTCAGAAAATGCTGTCAAGGTAAAAAATTGTTTTTTGTTTTTACAGTTTCCTGGGTTTTTTTTTTATATGAAAGTTTACATGACAAAAGCTAGTTGTAGTTATCTTACATACATCGCATTTATAATTTCTTTTTTACTTGGAAAAATCTATGGTTTTATAATAAGATTATCAAATATCTAATGTTGACTAAGCATCAGCTGGTAAAAGAGCTGTTTTTTCATATGCTTTTAGCTAATGAAAGTAACATGCCAATTATTTTCAGCGATTTTAAAGATTCTGTTTTCCTAATAAAGGGCAAAGATCCTAAAAATGAAAGAATTTTAAATAATTTCAAAGAATTTGATTTTTCTCTATATGCTAATTAATGAAAAACCATAGTTGTTAGAGTTTAGTATTTGAAGTAGAAGTGGCATCCCTATAGTAGAGTACATGTGGGAGATAACAATGTCTTTTAGTAAAGCTGAAGTAAACATCCATTACAAATTTAAGGAAATGGGTTGAAATTTAATTAAACAAAACTTTGTTCTTGCTGAAACTTTGTAGTTGGGTCTTTAAAAAAAAAAATATCACTGGGAATTTGTTTCTGCTTTCTCAACACTAGAGGGCAGGGACCGATTAGATGCCCAAAATTGTGCTTTTTTTCTTTGGACTAATAAATTTAATTTCATTTATAGTTACTGAAAGTGAAGTAAAATTATATGTGCATAATAGATGTTAGAATGAGAGGCATGTTTTGTAGTACTACTGTTATATCCTCCCTAGTTTTGATTAGTAAAAACTAGCCAAATCTGTTTCACGTAAGCAGCCCATGGTTGTTCCATATCTGAAGTGTAAATATGCCATCTGATTCAACTGAGGTTGAAGAAAATTTCCTTAATTTAGCACTTTAAGACACCTAATTTTAAACGCACTATCCTGTATTTAAACATTTCATAGTAAGGAAGGAATGCAAAAATAAAAAAGTTAATTTTAATTTCAATCTGTTCTCAGTGGTATCATAGGAAAGATCATACTTAGCAGCAGGACTTTAACACAGCTGTTTGAACCCTGGGAAGTTGGGGAGAAAGACTTAAAATAATTGATTCAATGTGGAAAGAGAAGCACTTAAAAAGGAAGGAATTGCATTTGTTACCATTGAACAAATAAACACAATCACAGGTTTTTTAAAAGTGTCTTCTCTATATGCATAACCATAGATACAAGTTTTACCCCTTTAATACAAGTTGTCCTTGAAATCTAAGGACCTGTTTAGGTACTCATTCATTTTAGGATATATAATTTCATGGAGTAGTGAAGAGAAAAGGAAGATTCTTTTCCTTTATTAAATTTAGTTCAAATATTTTCTGTTACTAAAATTGAGAAATCAGCCCCTTCTTTTATCTACTCTTACATAGTAAGCCAATTACACCACAAGACAACCCTTAATAGATGCCTGGGTTATAATAAACTTTGAAAGGTTTATAGAATGTGAATATTTCCTTTGAGAAAACAGAGGAAAAAATTTAATGGTAAGTAAACTATTTCCTGCTTTTAGAAAATGTTCTGTGTTTAAATAGATTGTTTTTAATTATAAGTTGCAAAAGGTTGGTTTTGGCTTTCAGGCCCTGAACATTTAAATATCTCGTTGCTTTTAAACCTCAGAAATAAATTTTCAAATTTAGCTGAGATATGGCACTTATAAGACTTCCTCGTCTGTTATCAAGTTGATCAGTCTTAAGTTTATGAGAGAAAGTGTGTGTGTGTGTGTGTGTGTGTGTGTGTTTCTAACACCAGTACAGCATAACTAATTTAATGCCAGTGCTGTGAACTATATACTGAAT